AAGCTTTTGTTTGATTAAGTCCAATTTGTTTATTTTGGTTTTCATTCTCATTACTCTAGGAGATGGATCAAAAAAAATATTGCTGTGAACACTCAGAAATTTTAATATGCACTATGCAGCAGATGCATGCATGTGTTCACTAGATAGGGTGCAGCATATCCAAATGTTTCTTTCTCCCCAGAAGCTTTTACAAGCACATTAAAGCCCACAAGGGTCTGTGTCTTCTAAAATGCATCGCTACATGCGTATATGTGTGTATGTTGTTGCAGAGAGTGTTTGGGAGGAAAAATAAGCTGATACAAATGGTGGCCTCAGGACTTTCCTGGCAGTCCAGTGGTTAAGACTCCATGCTTTTACTGCCAGAGGCATGGGTTCAATCCCTGGTTGGAATGAAGATCCCATATGTGATGCAGCATGGCCAAAAAAACCCCCAAAATACAAAAACCAAATGGTGGCCTTTGGGGAGCTGGGTGGGAATTAGGTTTTCTTTACACTGAACAGCTTTCAGTGCTTTTTTTTTTTTGCTTTCAGTGCTTTTGGCTTATGTTCACTATGTGGCTCAGATGATAAAGAATCCACCTGCAATGCAGAAGACCCAGGTTCAATCCCTGGGTGGGGAAAATCCCCTGGAGAAGGAAATGGCAACCACTCAAGTATTCTTGCCTGGAGAATTCCATGGGCAGAGGAACCTGACAGGCTTCATGGGGTCACAAAGAGTTGAACATAATTGAGCAACTAACACTTACGATAAAACAGACACAATAAGTTTGTGGAAGCTTAGATGAGTCTCCAAGCTGGATGTCTGGTTGATATCATATTTAACTGAATTCTCCTTAGGAATGACAGCTGTCACCCTCCCCGAGAACCAGCGTAAGAAATATCCCTCAGAAATTCATCATCCAGCCTGATGTTAGAATGACATTGAGGATGCTATAAAATAGAAAAGCAGAAGTGAAAAAGAACACTCCAATCTGATTTAACCGCTTTTAGTATAGAACTGGATCTGCCACATTTCTAAAAGCTCTGATGTGCTGCCAGAGTTGAGACCCACGGGGACTAGGAGTGATAGGTAAGACACACTCCTCTGCTAGCTAGTCCCTTGAGTTGGGTGAGGCCCTAGGCCCTGGGAATTCTAGAGGGAGTGAGATTCAGTCTCTATCTTCAAATGGCTCCTGGAGTAGGAAGTTGCTTTTTGTCCTAGTAAAAGATTTTCCAGACAGAGCCTCAGCTTCATTGTTTACACTGGAGCTGGGTTTGCCCAGAGAGAACTGAGTTTGTCAAGTCAGCCTTGGCAGATAAGGAGCTTTGAGTCACCTGGAACCAGAGGGTAGCCTGGCCCATCCAGGCATTTCTGAGAGCCTCCACGTTCCAGACCTCATTCTCAGGCCTAAAACTGTAAGTAGGGACAGGGCTGGCTTGTGTAACAGCTGGATCTGGAATTTGCTGTAGAAAAAAGTCTTTTCACTTGCCAGCCCTCTATAATTTTTAGTTTCCCAGATACAGATTCACCCAACCCTTAAAAAATTTATTTATTTTTATCTTATTTTTTACTGAAGCATAGTTGATTTACAATGCTGTGTTAGTTGCTAATGTTCAGCAAAGGATATATTTGTTTCCATTATGGTTTGCCATAGGATATTGAATATAGTTTCCTATGATCTACAGGTTATCTATTTTATATGTAGGGTAAGTCTGTATCTGTGAATCCTAATTTATCCCTCCCCCACCCTCCAAAGAGGGGAAACACTTTTGTAACTTTAAGTTTGTTTTCTATGTCTGTGAGTCTGTTTTTGTTTTATAAGTAAGCTTGTGCATGTATGTATGCTCAGTGGCTTCAGTTGTGTCCGACTCCTTGTGATGCCATGGACTGCAGGCTGCCAGGCTCCTTTGTCCATGGGATTCTCCAGGCAAGAATACTGGAGTGGGTTGCCATGCACTCCTCCAGGGGATCTTCCTAACCCAGGGATCGAACCCACGTCTCCTGCATTGCAGGCAGATTCTTAACTCACTGAGCCACCTGGAAAGCCCGATAAGTAAGTTCATTTGTATAATATTTTAGATTCCACATATAAGTGATATCATATGGTATTTGTTTTTGTCTGACTTCACATAGTATGATAGTCTCCATGTCTTTGCTACTGTGAATAGTGCTTCTGTGAACGTTGGGGTGCATGTATCTTTTTGAATTTAGAGTTTTATCTGGATACAGGCCTAGGAGTGGGATTGATGGATCATATGGCAACTCTATTTTTAGTTTCTTAAGGAACCTCCATACTGTTTCCACAGTGGCTGTACCAGTTTACATTCTCATCAACACTGTAGAAAGTTTCCCTGATACCCATAGCCTCTCCAGTATTTATTATTATTATTTAAGATATTTTTATTGGAGTATAGTTGATTTACCATGCTGTTAGTTTCAAGTGTACATATACATGTGTACATATACCTATGTACATGCATGCTAAGTCACAACCCCATGAACTGTAGCCCACCATGCTCCTCTGTCCATGAGATTCTTCAGGTAAGAGCACTGGAACATGTTAGCTGGGCCCTCCTCCAAGGGATCTTCCTGACCCAGGGATCAAATCCATGTCTCTTATGTCTCCTGCATTGGCAGGCAGGTTCTTTACCACTAGTGCCATCTGGAAAGCCCACATATACATATATCCACTTTAAGATTCATTTCCCATTTAGGCCATTACAGAGTATTGTGTAGAGTTCCCTATGCTATTCTAGCATTTATTATTTGTAGAATTGTAATGATACTAAGGCTTTTTAAAAACTCTGGCAACAGAGAAATCATTCCATGGGAGAAAATATTCCAATTTTGGACAACTGTAATTCTATCTCAAGGTTTTATTCTTATAGGCTTGTAGAAAACTGTAAAACTAATCCAACAAGCTTCCTATACCTCTCACTTATTTCCCTCAGGTAGTCACATCTTTTATGGGTGTAGTACAGTATCAAAGCCAGGAAATTGGTACATTACTGTTCTAGACTATAGGCCTTATTCAGTTTTTACCACTTGGAAAAAAAAAAAGAAAGAAACACTGTATTCATTTGTATGTATGTATATCCATGCAGCCTGATCACCTCTGGAAATTTCTGTTATCACCACCACAATCAAGATACAGAACTGCTCCATCGCTGAAAAAGTACTCCCTCCTGCTGCCTTTTTATATTTACGCCCACCCCTCCCCCTCCCCTTCCTGGAAACCACTAATCTGTTCTCCATCTCTAGATGGAGAATGTTATATAAATGGAATCATACAGTATGCAATCTTTATTTGAAAGGTAACAACTTTATTGACATATAATTCCCATACCATGCATTTCATCCATTTAAAGTGTTCAGTTCGATCATTTTTTTCATATATTAACAGTTGCACAACCATCACCACAGTCAATTTAGAACCTTTTCATTACCCCCCAAAGAAACTTTATATCCTTATCAGTCACTCCTTATTTTTCCCAAACCCCCAGTCCTAGGCATGCGCTAATCTACTTTCTACTGTTATAGATTCACTTATTTTGGACATTTCATATAAATAGAATCATATAATATGTGGTTTTTTGTGACTGACTTCTTTTACTTAGCACAATGTTTTCAAGGTTCATCCACGTGGTTGCAACTGTAGGAAGAGCTGAAACAAGTCCTACTCTGTCATAATAAGATACTGAGCTGTTTTTCAAAGACAACAGAGCAAAACCTTAAATCTTGCAAAGTTAGCACAGAACAGAGAATTTTTACCTTAAATAACACTCGGAACTAAAGTTCCCCATAACCCCCTTGTGCTGGGTGAGGTCCTAGGCATGGGGAATTATAGAGTGTGATGCCCACACCCCCAACCCCAGAACTAAACTATGGAGACATGACTGGAATTTGAATGCTGGAACCCTTGCAGAAACAAGAGTTCCATTGCCCAGAAGAACCACTGCCGCAGCCTCCTCCCATATGTGCCAAGTTCCAAAGCCCTCCATTTGAAGCCTGTCCCACCAGCATTTCTGCATACTAATCCATTCTCCCCCAACTCATAAAAGTTTGACTGAATCCCAGGTTTGGGAAACAGATTTGAGCTAGGCCTCCTATATCCTTGCAGGTTCATGTTGCAATAAACTTGTTCTTTCCTCAAAAGCCAGTGCCATAGTATTGGCTTCTATGCACATGTGGCAACAAGCCTTTTGCTCAGTAACAGTGTAGCATGTACTTCATTCCTTTTTATTGCCAGTAATATTCCCTGTATGGATAAACCCCTTTGTTTATCTGGCCATCAATTGATGTACATTGAGTTGTTTCCACTTTTTGGCTGTGATGAATAATGCTGCTGTGAACATTTATGTACAAGTTTTTGCATGGACATATGTTTCCAGTACTCTTAGGTATACCTGAGTGAAATTATTGAATCATATGATCACTCTATGTTTAATCTTCTCAAGAATAGCCAAACTGTTTTCCAAGGCAGTTATACTATTTTACATTCTCACCAGCAGTGTATGAAGATTCTGATACCTCCACAACATCTCCAATACTTACTGTCTTTTTTATTACAGCCATTCTTTTCTAGTGAAGGTGAAGTAGGATCTCATTGTGGTTTTGATGTGAATTTCCATAATGAGTAAAAACATTGAACATCTTTTTGTTTCACTTTAAAAAAAAAATAGGCAAAAAAAAAATAAATAAAAAATAAAAAAAAATAGGCAAATTTATTGTAGGACACTTGGACAGATAAATGGAATGGAAATGCCTATGTATCATTTTGGAAATCAGCCATGATTTGAATTTAAAAATTGTTACAAGCAAAATTTCATTTCATCATGATGCTTTCTTTTGTTTCTTCTTTTCATTTTCTTCTTTTTTTTTTCAATCTCAGCAATGTATTTCTCAATTTCTTCAGGATTTAAAATCTTGAGGGGTTGATCTCGCCTCACAACAGCAAGGTCTATGTTTTTGCCACCCGAGTGAACCATTTCCAGAAGGACCCTGATAGCCAGCTTAATAGTCAGATTGTTTCAATGGCTTCCTCAGTATAATTCTTTTCTAGGAATTCATGCGCTGACTTGGCAACCCGGCCTATAGCATTGGCCTTCCAGGCATGGTATGTGCCCGAGAGGTCAGTCTGATAGAGTCCGGAGGTGCCATCAAAGTCAAAACCCACCACGAGGGCAGAGATGCCAAACCGCCCGCGCCCCTTGCTGTGTGTGTAGTGCTGCTTCAGACTGGCGATAGAGCGGGTGATGTACTCCGTGGTGACCAGGTCCTGCACAGTCAGCCGGTGGCTCTGGCATTCCATCCGGGCCCTGTTGGTGACTATTCTTGCGTCAGCAGTGAGGCTGGCGAATGCCATGCAGACCTTATCATCCAGAGCACAGACCTTCCGCACTGTCCTTTCATCCTACAGTTTGGCCACTGACATCTTCTCCACACCAACATCAGTGTCTTTCCCTCGAACACTGACCGCGGCCCAGCCCCTCTTCATGGCCTCCTGCAACCACCCCACGTGGGGGGATAGAAGATGGTGATGGCGCGGTTAGAGCTCCTGCCTGCGGAAGGTCCCGGTTGGGCTGGGAAAAGCGCACACTCACTGCCACGCAGCAGGAGATTCACAACGTTGCTGCACCAGCACCGCGCGCCCGCCCGCCCCACTTTGTTTTGCTTTTATCAAGACTTCATTTCCATCAGTAGTGTATCAGACTTCTGCTACTGCTAAGTCACTTCAGTCGTGTCTGACTCTGTGCGACCCCATCCCTGGGATTCTCCAGGTAAGAACACTGGAGTGGGTTGCCATTTCCTTCTACAACGCATAAAAGTGAAAAGTGAAAGTAAAGTCGCTCAGTCATGTCCGACTCTTCGCGACCCCATGGACTGCAGCCTACCAGGCTCCTCCGTCCATGGGATTTTCCAGGCAAGAGTTCTGGAGTGGGGTGCCATTGCCTTCTCCGATCAGACTTCTAGTTTCCATATAACTTTGCCAAGCCTGCATAGTATCAGTTCAGTTCAGTTCAGTGGCTCAGTTGTGTCCGACTCTTTGCGACCCTATGAACTGTAGCAGCCAGGCCTCCCTGTCCATCACCAACTCCTGGAGTCCACCGAAACCCATGTCCATCGAGTTGGTGATGCCATCCAACCATCTCATCCTCTGTCGTCCCCTTCTCCTCCTGCCCTCAATCTTTCCCAGCATCGGGGTCTTTTCAAATGAGTCAGCTCTTTGCATCAGGTGGCCAAATTATTGGAGTTTCAGCTTCAAAATCAGTCCTATTAATGAACACCCAGGACTGATCTCCTTTAGGATGGACAGGTTGGACCTCCTTGCAGTCCAAGGGACTCTCAAGAGTCTTCTCCAACACCACAGTTCAAAAGCATCAATTTTTCAGTGCTCAGATTTCTTCACAGTCCAGCTCTCACACCCATAAATGACCACTGGAAAAACCATAGCCTTGACTAGACGGACCTTTGTTGGCAAAGTCATGTCTCTGCTTTTTAATATGCTGTCTAGGTTGGTCATAACTTTCCTTCCAAGGAATAAGTGTCTTTTAATTTCATGGCTGCAATCACCATCTGCAGGGATTTTGGAGCCCAGAAAAGTAAAGTCAGCCACTCTTTCCACTGTTTCCCCATCTATTTGCCATGAAGTGATGGGACCAGATGCCATGATCTTAGTTTTCTAAATGTTGAGCTTTAAGCCAACTTTTTCACTCTCCTCTTTCACTTTCATCAAGAGGCTCTTTAGTTCCTCTTCACTTTCTACCATAAGGGCGGTGTCATCTGCATATCTGAGGTTATTGATATTTCTCCAGGCAATCTTGATTCCAGCTTGTGTTTCCTCCAGCCCAGCGTTCTCATGATGTACTCTGCATATAAGTTAAATAAGTAGGGTGACAATATACAGCCTTGACGTACTCCTTTTCCTATTTGGTGTATATATTATATGCAGTATAGTTGATTTACAATGTGTTATTTTTTGCTGTACAGCAAAGTGATCCAGTTATATATATATTCTTTTTCATATTCACCTTTATTACAGTTTATTACAGGATATTGAATATAGTACCCTGTGCTATACAATAGCACTTTGTTGTTCATTCATACTATATAATCCTGAATGCCCAATCCAACCCTTTCCCCTGCCCTTGGCAATCACAAGTCTGTTCTCTAGGTCTGTGAGTCTGTTTCTGTTTCATAGATAAATTCATTTGTGTCATATTTTAGATTCCACATATAAGTGATATCATATGGTATTTGTCTTTTTCTGATTTTACTTAATATGATAATCTCTAGATCCAAACATGTTGCTGCAAATGACATTATTTCATTCTTTTTTATGGCTGAGTAGTATTCCATTTATATATTCATGCCTACATACACACACACAAACACACACACACATATACATTACATCTTCTTTATCCATTTATCTATCAAGGGACATTTATGTTGTTTCCATGTCTTGACTGTTGTAAATAGTACTGCAATGAACATTGGGGTACCTTTTGTTATTTCAAGGGAATTCTCTTGATTTTTAAAAATTTATTTTTGGCTGTGCTGGCTCTTTGTTGATGCACATGGGCTTTCTATGGTTGCAGAGAGCTGTGGTTACTCTCTAGTTGTGGTCAAGGGCTTCTCATTGTGGTGCTTTCTCTTGTGCAGCATGGGCTCTAGAGAGCGCAGGCTTCAATAGCTGTGGATCCCAGGCACTAGAGCACAGACTCAATAGTTGTGGCACATGGGCTCAGCTGTTCTGCAGCATGTGAGATCTTCTTGTGTGGACTATTTTAAAAGTCCTTATTGAATTTGTACAATATTACTTCTGTTATATGTTTTAGTTTTTTGACTGCAAGGTACATGGGATCTTAGTTCCCTGACCAGGGATCAAACAAACCTGTACCCGCTGCACTGAAAGGTGAAGTCTTAACCTCTGGACCACCAGGCAAGTCCCAACAATGAGATTTCAGTGGCAGTGTCAAGCCCACTGTGAGCCAAGAGCAAGGTTCCAGCCCCTTCAGGCTGTCTCCATGCAGCCCGTCCCAGTCTTCTCCCCGTGTCTGTCTGCTGAAGCCAGAGTTTCAGCATCCAGCATCCAGCGCCCACATGCACAGTCGATGTGAGTCTCAGTCTGGAGGGCGTGGGGAGGTGGCACAGACCACCTGTGCAGGTCGTGCTGCTGGGTATGCTGCAAACTGCCTGTCTCACTGAGCCTCTGAAACTCCTTTTCTGTCCTGACTGATCACCCCACTGGTGAAGGGCCTTCCCAGGCTGCGGGAACCTTTCATCTTTCACAGGCCCCTCCCAGGGGCATAGGTTCTGTCCTGATTCCTTCCCCCTCCTCCTTTCATCCTACCTGGTTCTGTGGTTATGTGGAGATCTTTCTTGGGGTTTTGGGAGTTTGAGTTAGGCCAGCGTTGAGTAGGTATTAGATGTATTTTGATGCGTTTGTGGGAGGAAGTGACTTTCACATCCTATTGCACCATCTTGATTCTGCCTCTGAGCATCTTTTCATGTGCTTATTGGCTATTTCCATATTTCCTTGGGGGGAAAAATGTTTACTTGGAACTTTTGTGCCTTTTTAAATTGGGTTGTACTTTAATTGTTGAGTTGTAGGTTTCTTAATAGTCTAGACGCAAATTCCTTATCAGATACAAGATTTGCAAGTATTTTATTTTGGGGGTTGTCTTTATGCTTTCTTGATGGTATTCTGTGAAGCACAAAAGTTTTAAATTTTGATGAAGTTCAATTAATTTTTTTGTTCTGTGTGTGTTATAGCTTAGTAGGCTTTGCCGAATCTAAGGTTATAAAGATTTACTTCTCTTTTCTTCTAAGAGTTTTGTAGTTTTGTTCTCATGTTTTAGGTCAGGGATCCATTTTGAGTTAATTTTGTATATGGTATGAAGAAAGAATACAATTTCATTCTTTTGTTTGTGGATATCCAGTCCCAGCACAATTTTGTTGAAAAACTACTCTTTTCCACTCAATTGTCTTGGCACCTTGGTCCAATACAGATTGACTATAAATGTGAAGATTTGTTTTGGGACTCTAAATTCTATTCCATTGATATATTTGTCTATTCTTATGCCAAAACCACATTTTTTTTAAACAGTTATACATATATTTTTTAAGTTACTAAGGTCAAGCTTCAGCAATATGTGAATCGTGAAATTTCAGATGTTCAAGCTGGTTTTAGAAAAGGCAGAGGAACCAGAGATCAAATTGCCAACATACGCTGGATCATCGAAAAAGCAAGAGAGTTCCAGAAAAACATCTATTTCTGCTTTATTGACTATGCCAAAGCCTTAGACTGTGTGGATCACAATAAACTGTAGAAAATTCTGAAAGATGGGAATACCAGACCACCTGACCTGCCTCCTGAGAACCCTGTATGCAGGTCAGGAAGCAACAGTTAGAACTGGACATGGAACAATAGACTGGCTCCAAATAGGAAAAGGAGTACATCAAGGCTGTATATTGTCACCCTGCTTATTCAACTTATATGCAGAGTACATCATGAGAAACGCTGGGCTGGAAGAGGCACAAGCTGGAATCAAGATTGCCTGGAGAAATATCAATAACCTCAGATATGCAGATGACACCACCCTTATGGCAGAAAGTGAAGAGGAACTAAAGAGCCTCTTGATGAAAGTGAAAGAGGAGAGTGAAAAAGTTGGCTTAAAGCTCAACATTTAGAAAACTAAGATCATGGCATCTGGTCCCATCACTTCATGGCAAATAGATGGGGAAACAGTGGAAACAGTGGCTGACTTTGGTTTTTGGGGGCTCCAAAATCCCTGCAGATGGTGATTACAGCCATGAAATTAAAAGCTGCTTACTCCTTGGAAGGAAAGTTATGACCAACCTAGACAGCATATTAAAAAGCAGAGACATTAATTACTTTGCCAACAAAGGTCCATCTAGTCAAGGCTATGGTTCTTCCAGTGGTCATGTATGGATGTGAGAGTTGGACTATAAAGAAAGCTGAGTGCCAAAGAATTGATGCTTTTGAACTGTGGTGTTGGAGAAGACTCTTGAGAGTCCCTTGGAGTGCAAGGAGATCCAACCAGTCCATCCTAAAGGAGATCAGTCCTGGGTGTTCATTAATAGGACTGATGTTGAAGCTGAAACTCCAATACTTTGGCCACATGGTGTGAAGAACTGACTCATTTGAAAAAGACCCTGATGCTGGGAAAGATTGGGGGCAGGAGGAGAAGGGGACGACAGAGGATGAGATGGTTGGATGGCATCACTGACTCGATGGACATGGGTTTGGGTGGACTCCAGGAGTTGGTGATGGACAGGGAGGCCTGGCTTGCTGTGGTTCATGGGGTCACAAAGAGTTGGACACAACTGAGCGACTGA